AGGAGGAGGAGCGGCGCTCTGGGTGAGTGTGGACTCGTTTGTGTCCGTGGAGAGTCGTTTGCGGTCTCAGATCTTTCGCAAAGGAAAGCGAGACAAAGGCGAAAGGGAGAGTGGGAACGGGGAGGAGGAGCGGGTTGAAGTAGGTTAAACTTGCTTTAGGCAGGGCTGTAATCCTAAACATTTCACTTGGAAATAATTTATATCGCATTTGGTAGGACTTCCGAATTAGATGGCTTAGGAGTGATTTCTTAGTATTAAACTCATGTTTTCTGTAGAAAGCGATATACCAAATAAGTATAATACTGTATTGGAAGCAATTTTTCCTTTTATTTTGTGTGGGGGGAGAAATCTCTAGATCAGCGTTTCTTAAAGTATGGTCCAAGGACCCTGGGGATCCGCGAAATCAAAATAATTTGCCAGATATTGAAGACATTTGCAAAATTTAAAACTATGTCACTCCTCATTTTATTTGCCAAAAAATTGAGTTTTTTCATAAAATACTTTATAATATCTAATTGGTTTAATATTACTTTTACCTGATTCAATAAATATTCTACAAATGCATCAATTTTAATTTTTAATACGGTAAATATCAGTAAATATAAGCCATGCAAACAAAGCTCTTTTGGGGTCCTCTGTAATTTTTAAAAGTGGGAGAACAAAAAGTTTAAGAAACATCGCATTCCTGCAGTAGAGATTAACCCTTTGTGAGCTTCTTTCAGAAGTTTGATGTCTATTACAGGGCAGTAATATACTTATAGTAGCATTACTAATGTAATAGTTGGTCCCCTGACAAAGATTCAAGAGACTGTTTTGTAAACAACCAGCTGCAAATTTCCTCTTTGTAATTCTGAGGAATTACACCAGGTGACAGAAAGAAAATGATATCTCCCTTCTAATATACATTGGGGTTATGGTGGTCTTAAAAGGGGAGTAACTTAACTGCTGGATTTCTTGTAATCCTACCCGTTTTTCCCTCAATAAGTCATTTTACCTATTCCACCAGTTCTGGCAAGGTAGGCATGCTGAGAGTTTCCTCAGTGAAACAATGCCATCTTGCAGAGCCCAGATGTGCCTTTGCTATTGTGTGCCTGCCCCCCAGGGAACAGCCTCCCAAATGGATAAATCTGATCCTGCTAGCCTTCAGAAAGACTGGAAAAACCCTATATAAACTACTACATATAAACAGGCAGCAAGCCCCATACTTACACTTTTATCTAGTTGGGTAATAAAACATCTGCAAGTAAACAGCCAAGCTCCGAGAGTACCAAGAACTCCACAAACCTGGCTTTTCCCACAGGCGTTAGAGCCAGAGTTAGTGCAGTCCAACCCTGGTGAATTTATGACTAAAGATTATGTGTGAGATGCCTTGGCATTATTTGATACTTGTTTGTATTTATTTTCATGTGCTTTTTATTGTTTTGTATTGTGAGCCACCCAGAATTATATGCTTAAGATAGGTGGCCATACAAATTTAATAAGTCTGGAAGAGGCTCTGAAGATAATACTTGGAAAACAATGTTTTGTTTTTAGGGAGATGCTAAAGAGCCTGACAGGATAAATATACAGACCTGCATTCCTTATTGCCCTAGAAAACGTCAAATCCAGGTTGGCGCTTTTTTTTTATGGAAGCAAGGCTAGCAACTTTACTTTTTTGGTAATGGCATGATTGGGGCATGTTCTTCCCCGCAAAAAACAGCTACAACAATTTGAATTTTCAGAAAACCAGCGATGGGAAAAATTTCTGCCTGGTAGTTCCTGCTAATCAAAACAGATAACAATGCATTAAATGGAGAAATAGGCCCAATGTGATCAGAGAACCTAAGACCAGGTTTTGCTGGAATTGTGGCCAGTGTAATGTAATGGACAGGAGAGGCAGGTTCAGGTCTACTTTCAGCCATGGAAGTTCTCTTCAGTCAACCTACTTCACAGATTGGGGAATAAGAGGAGAGAACTATCTTGAGTTCCTAAACAAGAAGCAGGATATTAAATAAATGAATGAATTCTATTTAAATGATTGATATTTAAATTAACTTGCCTAATCATATGGTTTATTCAGACCATAGTTTAGCATAAACTCAATTCAGAGCAAAATCCTACATATTTAGTTTTGATACATATTTAATATTCTACATACCATTATATCAAGACAGTTTATGAACAAGCGATAAAGGGTCTCTCTGGCAACATACAACAATTATGCAAATAAAATAGCTGTGGAAAAGTTCATTTACAGCTATGATTATCAGAAATAAAAATCACAATTTTAGGGTGCAAAAGCTTTGACAGGCTAGGAGTACTGACCAGATACAAAGTTTATAAATAATAGAAAATCTTTTCCAGGTTTTGGAAAATATCAATTTTTCTTACATTTAAAATGCTGTACATCATTAACTTTCTTCATCGTAAAAATCAGTTTCTTTATAACAGTATGTTGTATATAAAAGTGAAATATAATTTACAGAAAAAAACATATCATTTGTTGAATCTGAGGTATGATCACTATGTTTTTGCTAGTTCTGTTTGTCAAAGTCATCACTTCTGAAAACTGAATTTTTGCCTGTATGAAGACAAGCTTCATACAACAATTTATTTCTTCATGTTGGTGTACTTCTAAACATACATTTCCTTTAATATCTTAACTATTTTATATGGTGGCTAAAACAGGTAGTTAGGAATGGCCCTTGTAATTTTTCTTACTTCAGAATACATAATGAAAAGTCCCTTTGGGAAAATAAACAGAAAATCTTTTTGCTTGTTTTCTGGTCTTCAGTTCAACAGATTATATAAGCATAGCTTCTAATATCCTAATATGCCAATTTTATTTTATACTCAATATCTGCCAACAGAAATGTTTCAGTTAAAGTAGACCATGACAACAGTTGAAGTAAAAGTAAAGAAGTTTATTAAAAACTTTAAGTGAATATATTTATATACACACACCAGTGACACATGGTGTCAACTTTGTCCTAACAGTTAAATTATATTTATTTCAACAATGGTTTAGCCAGATCCTGTATGACTGCAGAATTCAGTGCTGGAAGGCTGCTAATCTTGGCATGCTTGCTGCTGGCATATTTGTTTTTGACAGTCTAGGGAGAAAGATGTGATTCATTATGGAGTGCTTTGTTTTAGAGCAAAATGGCATTAATATGTTTTTACTTAATTTTTCAGGCTGCCCATTTATCAAATGGCTGTTAAACCACCACTGTTAAGAAATATGTAACAGCATATAACAGTGAGCTACATAATGTAATCAGCATTGCTCAGATATTTGTATAGATAAAACTGTATTGCTGCATTATACATAAAAGACAAACTTAGGGATTAGAGAACACAATTGAAAATTCTGAGAATGTATTATGAATAGTCATAAAATGGCTGCCACAGCAACTTGGTTATGCACAAAATGGCTGCCACAAGGAAGAGCCTATCATGCTTATTCTCCAAGAAAAAAAAAGACAACCCGCTACTTAGGTTGTTTCCTCACTAGGGAGCTGTTTTTGGGTGGTCCATGTTTGAAAGGAGATATGCATATCTTGGACATTCTGGCGAAGCATGGGACAAAGTATGGTTGTTCCAGGCAGAAGTGATTTGGGAGCCGGGGATATAAGAGTGGGGAAAAAGTCAAGAGCATTAGCAATAGCAAAGGAGGAGGATAGGTGCAAGGGAGATGGGGGAGGCAGGTTGATGGGATATGCTACAGTGGATTATTGGCAGTGATGGCCAAAGGGAGAGAAAAAAGTGCTGTGAAAACTGCGAGGCTTAGAAATACGCTGTACTGGAAGCAGTGAGGGGGCAATACATACCAGCCTTGTTCTACTTATCCCATTCAGATGTTGTTTTGTCCAAAACACGGAATGATCAAAGCATTCTGTGGTTTTGTTCTGATGACCCATGGGTCATCTGAAGCATGGTGGTTTGTTCCAGGTTTGAAAAAAATGTTTTGTACACACTTCCCCTGTGCCCCTTGTATTTGTTTTTTGTGCAAATGGAGCACTTTAAAATAATGAACTACTTTTATTTTTAAGAATGCCTATAAAGCCATTTGGGCCTTTATTTCTTGCAAATAAAATTGTGAGGAAGTGACTGGGATACTTGAAGATTCCAAGGAGAGTTGTTTGCAGGTAGATTGGTGCTCATAGCATTATGTTACATTTCCCTAGCTTATAGAATTGCAAGAGTTTCTTAAATTACAAAATGATTGTTAATTTCTGATTAGCTATCTTGTTTTGACAAAAGCTTTCTGAACAGAAAGAGGATAGTGGAATTAGCCAGAGTGGTGGCTGGCTCCCCTTCCTTACCCCTCAGGCAGAAGACAGACAGCCATATATTGGCGATTTGATTTGGATTCTTGCACTGAGGAAGCAATTGGACGTGATGATCTAAACAGCCTCTCCCAGCTCCATGAGAATACGTCATTCATAGGATTTACTCACTGAGACTGAGATTCTGTGGTTTTTAAGTACAGGTAACTAAAGCAAGTAGATATATTTACCATGTGCTTTGTAAGGCCTCGGTTTACCAACATCACATTCTTTGCCATATGCTGCATCACAGGAATAAGAGTGTCTTCAGGATAATACATGTAGTGTTGCAGAGTTGGAGTCTAAAGGCAAGAGGCAAATTTATAAATTACTAATTTTGAAGGCTTTCTGGTCTTCCAAAAAGCTGTCTTCCGTAAACCCTTT